TATATATATATATATATATATATATATATATATATATATATATATATGTACTCTTGTATTTATTTATCTATTTATTTGTTAATTGTTAGGCTTCTTGATGTGGGACCTCAGTCCGAATTTCTTACCAAAAACATGCAAATGTGAGCTGGTATGACAATAAATAGAAATCCTTGAATCCTTGAAACTCTGCGTGGGACCATGGTGGAATTCAAAAATCAGGTGGATGGGCTGAGGAAAAGGCTTGAATCTGTGGAGGGTGGTTTGAAATAGAACAATAATAGAATTATTGATATTCCTGAGTTGCCGGACTCATGCACTCCTACAGTGATAGCCAAAAAGCTAATGGAGGTGCCGAAGCTGTACTAGTTACCACTGATCAATCACGTACACCAGGCGCAAGGCAGGAGAGGCTCGAATGATCAATCAAGAGTTTTCTTGGCAAGGCTGCATTATTATCAAGATTGTGTGGAGATATTACAATGATCACGCAGCAGTAGCCCAATCTACTTCAAATAGTCATCCATATTCATCACACCTGATTATACTCCCAAGCGTGGCAAAGGCACGAGCGGCGTTCACTGAGGTGAGGCGACTCCTGCAGAACCAACCAGATGTTTGGTATGGACTTCTTTTTCTTGCACGGCTTCACATCACACATGGCGAGACGGACAAGATGTTTGTCGACTCTGTTAAAGCTATGGAATATGTCAAGAGGAATGTCATTCCAGCAACGGTCGATGAGGATCAAAAGAAACCATAGTTCAAACCATGTACAGCATTTTATTATTATTGAAGGGTGGCTGTGGCTGAGTGATTAGAGCAGTCGTCCTCCAATGCGAGAGTTGGGGGTTTGAAGCCACCAGCAGTCACATGCTGAAGTGTCCCTGGGCAAGACACTGGACCCCTCATTGCCTCTAATGTGTGTCCCATCGGTGTATGAATGTGATAAAGCTCTGATTAGTTTTTGTAAAAAGTATAGTAGAGTGCTGTATGAACGGGTAAATGAAGACATAGATTGTACTGTAAAGCACTTGATCAAATGGAAAGGTGCTATATAAGTACACTCCATTTACCATTTAAAATTAGTTTAAAAAAAATTTAAATACCTATCATTTAACCCAAAATCATAAGAATCTCTATAAAACTAATTATCTACCTCTCGTAAACAGAAAATTGGTTCCAGCAGTTCTTTCCTTGATTTTATCTTCAAATCGGTCAGAGTCAGAGTTTCTTTATTAGTCATTAACACCACACGTGGTACATGTGGTGGAACAAGATTGTCTACTCAAGGTCCCAGTTACATACTGCAATAAAATGTAAAAGAAAAATAATAATAAGATATAAACTAAGAAAAACATACACTTAAAATACACTAAATACTAATAGCATAAAACATTACACCAAACAGCAGCACAAACATGAGTCTGTGTGAGCAGATGAGCATGAATGAACACATCAACATGAAACAGATCAGCAGCAACATGATGTGATTATTCTGTTTAGAGATTCATGAGTCTAACAGCCTCAGAGTAAAAGCTGTTCCTCAGTCTAGTGGTTCTACACTTAATGGTCCTTAACCTCCTTCCTGAGGAGTGGTGCTCCTATTGAGTTTGTCGATTCCTACAAATATTTGGGTATATTGGTCAATTCGCACCTCTCTTTTAAGCTCCATGTGGAAAACTTGGTAAGGAAACTAAAAATTGGGTTTCTTTTTCAGAAACGGGTCCTGTCTAATTCTGAATGCTAGGAAATGCCTTGTAATTGTGACTTTCCTTCCCTCAGTTGACTACGGTGACATTATTTACATGAACGCCTCTACAAGCACCTTGCAGATGTTGAACACTGCCTATCATGTTGTGCTAAGATTCATATACCATACCATGCCACTTTATTTATAAAGCACTTAAAACAGCAACAAGGCCAACCAAAGTGCTGTACAGACAGAACAACAGGTAACACACAAAGCAAAATACAAAATGAGGTAAATCAGAATATAGACAAAAAACGATGCAGATAATGACGACAAACCAGTGTGGAGTATACAGGATCAAAACACAGATCATCTTGTGTTGAAAGCTACTGAATAGTAGTGACTTTTTAAACGGGACTTGAAAACCGAGAGGGAGGGGGCCTGTCTGACAAGCAGAGGTAACTCGTTCCAGAGTCTTGGTCCTGCTACAGAGAAGGCCCTGTCACCTCTGCGCATATCTGGCTGTAACTACTGTACCCACCATTGTACCCTGAATTAAGTTAAGCCACTGGTTAACTGGACATCATTAACTTCACACAGACTCTCCCACTAGTACATTTTCATCTTTAAATCACTTCTTGGTCTGTTGCCTTCATACCTCTCCTCCTACATGTCTCTGCATGAGTTCAGCTACAGCGTGCGCTCTCAGGACATTATTACTCAGTGTTCCCTCAGTGAGGACTGAACTTGGCAAAAGGACCTTCTCCTCCTCCGCTCCTGTTTCCTGGAATATCTGGGAAAAAAGATCTGAAGCGCTCGACCTTGACCTAAGTGACTTTAAAACCCTAAGTACCTGGCAAAAGCCAACGCAGACATGTTCCTGTTTTTAGTTTTCTACATCACTTTACAATCTAGCTGGTTTTTTGTTTTGTTTTATTTTTAATACCATTATCTTTCATTTATTCTTCTCAATTTATATGCTTTATTTTATGATTGTCTACTGTTATCATTCTTTGTTAAAATCAGATCTTTCTTGTAAATGAGTCCCCAGGGCTCAATGACTCAAACCTGTGTAAATAAAGGTTGAATGAATGAAAAAGCGTGGTCCTGCTGCTCAGAGTGGTGTCTGATTTTAATCTTAAACTGACCACCTCTGCTGCCTTGTCAGTAGGAATGCACATAAAGAGTGATGTGACATCAAGAGAGACCATTGTTTCATCAGTCTCCATGATGACATCCCTCACCTTATCCACAAAGTCCATGGTGTTCTCAAGGTGGTAGTTTGGCATTGCTGGGGCAGGCTAAAACTTTGTTCCTAAGTTGTTCTGCTTCAAACTCTGACATTTTGATGTTGTGGATGGTTTATTCTGTGGCTGTGATCATCTCCACCAGAGGAATTCTTCTGAAGAATCGACTGAAGAAATATTTTGGATAAATTACAAAACATTTCAACAAAGAAGGATCTGTCCAGAGGACCTGATCTTGTTAGAATAGTGTGAATGACTAATAAACAGGGACAAAATAATTATCTGCACACAGGTTATCAAAAGTGAGTGTTACTGTGACCTTTTTTAATTTTAAATGTCATAAACTGTATTCCAACATTTTTCAGTCAGGTCATCTGGACAGTTTCTTTTTTTTTTTGTGCTGAAATTTTTCGCCTTCGATCCGGAAGGCTATGTTATTGAGCATGGACTTTGTTGTTTTCAACCAGTTTGACACGACTGTCAACAAGGAAGAGGGCCGGCAATGGAGGAGGGGCCGTGACAAAGAGACCATCTTATCACCAACATAACTGGTTTGTTACACTTTGGAGTAAGCTGTTGGGGGAAGAATCAGTTTTGCGTTGTGTGTTTCCTTGACTGATGAAGTCTTCTGGATCGAAGGCGAAAAGTTTCAGCACAAAAAAAAGAAACTGTCCAGATGACCTGACTGAAAAATGTTGGATTGTATACCTGGATTATTGAGCATGGACTTTGTTGTCATAAACTGTATTACGATGACAATGACATGACAGCTGCATGGGCACAAAATTGTTTTTCCATGTTGCATTTCTGAGTTTCACACCTATATGGTATGGTACCAGTCTCTGCTAGAAGCTGTGAAGCAACAGTGTATTATTATAAGGAGGTGTGTTTTATTTAGCGAAAGGCCATTATTACCTCACAGCTTGCATACCAGACCTCTATGACACTCTGGATGTTTTTACAGTGGAGTAAAATGTTGTCATAACTCTGATAAGACATTCAGCAGTCCAGAACAATGCTGTGCATTAACTTGTTTTAACTAATTTTGTAGTTTTACTTGTCTTAGAAATCATGGGGGAGTGGTGATGCAGATGTTAGAGAATGTGGGCCTGTGGTCAGAAGGTTGTAGGGTTAGATTCTGGACCATAAGGTGAGGGGAGCGGCCTGTATTTGACGTTTAACTCCTAACTGGTTCCACACGTATACGTCTTTTGTTTATTTGAACTGGGGACTCCTAGTGCTCTTTTCTGTTTAGGGAATTATGATTATCAAAATATGTCTTCTAAAATGTTACAGTCGTCTAGACTGCATATGTTGAGCGTCCCGTTAGTCACATATAGGCCATAATATAGCTATGCACATTTTCTGTCTTATTCAGTACTGACTGTGATGTTTCTTTTCAGAATTTCTCAGAATTCAACTTGCAGAATGTCAAAGCTAATATGATCTGTCTGGTTGGCAGGCCGCAGACTGATGGAAGATGAAACATTTCTCCGTTAAAGAAACTGGTCCAGATTAAATGATTTAACCTTTTTTGTTGTTATCTACCTGGATGATGGAGCCTACAACCCTTTTTTTTATTGTCAAGAATGTTATCATGCATTATGTTTGAAAATATTGTTCTGTATTCTTGCCTTCTTCATCAGGATAATCATTCCTTGCAGCTGTAATGTTTTTATCAAACTGCTGAATGTCTGCTTGATCTTCCCGTTGGGACTCATGTTTTTCTCTTCTTTATGTTTGCCTTTCAGTTGTGGACTGAGGAAGTGGAGAAAGTAAGTACATTTACGAAGTCCTAATTTGTTTTCCTTCCATTTGATTAAGCAATTGAACTTATTTGTTCAATTCATTTCACTTTATTTATATAGCGCCAGTGCACAACAGAAGTCCTCTCAGGACACTGAACAAAAACATTCACATACATGAGAGCCAATGAGTAAAAGTTATCTTAGGAAGGAAGCCAGCAGATGTGTTGAATCTTCACTTTGTCACAGTCTCCCATCCTGAGCAAGCACAGAGGTAACAGTGGAAAGGAAAACTCCCTTTTAACAAGAAGAAACCTCCAGCAGAACCAGGCTCAGGACGAGCGGCCATCTGCTTCGACTGGCTGGGTTTGAGAGGACGAGACGGAGAAAAACTATAGTCCAGTAAATCTATTGAGCCAGTATCTCTCTAGGCTGGAACTGTTCCAGACCAGCTGGCCAACAGTATTTGCCATCTTGACATGTTTGTTCAGCTCAGTTACCTTACGTTAGTCGCAAAGACTCACAGTTTTGTCAATTCAATGTTGGAAAACTTTGTGACAAGATTTTTTTTTCTTCTCAAAATATCCCTTTCAGTACAGCTGTGTTTAAACACCTGCATGTGCTGGTGAAGATTCTTTGTATTGAACGTTTTTTGAAACACCTGCATAGGAACTCTCTCTGACTGAAAAGATCTGAGGCTACAACCCTGATTGTCCAGGGGGTGGGAATTGTTGGCCACCACACTATTCAAGTCTATTACAATTCAGAAGGCAAAAAAAAAGATTATAGATGTATTTTGATTCAGTCCAGTGACTGGACGGTGGTAATGTTGTTATTGTTTCAGGCTGAACAAGATCTCAGACTGGCCCAAACGGAGTTCGACCGCCAAGCAGAGGTTACACGACTGCTTTTGGAGGGCATCAGCAGCACACATGTACGTCGGCTGCACGCACAAACACACAAACATCTTTGTATATCCACAGGCATTATTTCAATTTCAGTAATTTAACTTTAACAGTCAACGCTTTCCTTTTTACCTTGGTATTTTTTGTACCACTTTGTTTTTCCCCACATTTATTTTGATAGAGTTGTTTCTTCTCAGTGAAAAGGTTGCCGGATCAAATCTCAGTTGAGGATTTTCTGGGTCTCTGGCTTTGACCAACACAGACTGCAACCTCTTTTTAAATCATTTCATAAACAAAGTTGCTGCCATCAGGGCCTCTATCGCTCCCATATCAGTTTATTGTCCAGTCTCTCTTACTTTTGATACATGGTCATCTTTTACACCAGTGGCACTACAAGACACCGCAGCACTGCTGGATCGAACAAAAAGGTCATCTAGCCCACTCCATGTCCTCCCTGCATCCTTTTTCATGACCATATTTTACTGTATTGACCCTAGTGTTCTTAATCTGATTAACCTCTCCCTTTCTCCTGGCTCTGTGCCATGTCTGTTCAAAACAACTGTTGTCTGTCCACTACTAAAAAAGCCACACCTGGATCCTTCTCTTCCTGACAACTATAGACCCATCTCTAAGCTACCATTTTTATCAAAAATCCTTGAGAAGGCTGTAGCAGAACAACTGAACCGCTTTTTGGAGGAAAAGGGTCTCATGGATACCTTTCAATCTGGTTTTCATAAATGGCACTCTACAGAGACAGCGTTATTAAAAATGTAAAGTGACATGCTGATGGCAGCTGACTCTGGTCTTTATTCTGTGCTAGTTTTATTAGACTTAACATCAACCTTCAACACGGTGGATCATACTGTTCTTATTAACAGACTGAGAGACTTGTTTGGCATCTCTGGCACTGTGTTAAACTGGTTCACCTCTTATTTATCTGAAAGGTCTTTTTCTGAACCAGGTTTATTCAGTTAGTGCACCACTGTCTTGTGGAGTACCCCAAGGTTCAGTTTTGGGCCCAGTCCTCTTTTTATTGTATTTATATCCTCTGGGGGTTATCCTAAAACACTATAAAAATTTGTCTTATCATCTGTATGCTGATGATGTTCAATTGTATTGCTCTTTTTGACCTTCTGAGATGTACAAACTGTCTGATCTCAACAATTGTCTGTCGTTTTCCAGCCATGATTTGAATTCAGACAATCTGCAGTTAAATGCAAATAAGACTGAAACTATCCTGATACATGCTCGATAATCCAGGTAGAAAAATCCAAAAAAAGTTCAATCTGGTCCTCTGGACATTCAAAAAACAAGAAAACAAAAAAAAAAAACGTAGAAACGTTTCGTCTCTCATCCGAGAGACTTCCTCAGTCTGAGGTGCTGTATTCAGCTCAGTCTCTTAAATAAACTCTTTCAGGGATGAAGATGTTCACATCCTGGACAGAGAGGAACGATGGTTTGAGAGAGGAGTAAAGGAGGCCATCTTTGTGAAAAGAAACCGTCCATCATTAAACAGGGGTGGAGGCCTCTGTGTTAAACTGTCCCCCTCTTACAATGCTGTGATTGCTAGTATCACTCAGCCTCCTGTGAATAGTAAACAGCCATCAGTGTGCTAATGATCCATTGTTAGGCTGATGGTCCTTCTTGACCATGTGATCAGCTGGTTTTGGTTGTCGGCAGCAAACAGGTTGATCCACTCTGAGAAGGTGCTATTTAAGAGACTGAGCTGAATACAGCACCTCAGACTGAGGAAGTCTCTCGGATGAGAGACGAAACGTTTCTACACTTTTTTGTTGTTTTGCTTTGTTTTTTTTTTTTGAATGTCCAGAGGACCAGATTTAACTTTTTTAGACCCTGATGATAAGATTTCTGTAATTAAACATCGCATGTCTTGGTTTTGCCTTTGTGAAGCACTTTGTGATCCATATGTCTGTGAAAGGTGCTATAGAAATAAAGTTTTACTTACTTAATTTGCATGCTCTCCCTGCACATGCATAGATTTTATCTGGTTTTCTCTTTGGTCCCACAGACCAAAAACGTGCATGTTAGGCTGATTAGTAAGTCTAACTTGTCTAGTTGTGAGTGAGAGAGTGAATGGTTGTTTATCTCGTTTGTCTCCATGTGTCCCTGTGATGGACTGGAGACCTGTCCGGGGTGTCCCCCGCCTCTCACACAGTGACTGTTGGACATGGGCACCAGTGACCTCTGCGACTCAGAAAGGAAGAAAAATGCATTTGCATATGTCATATTTGATCATTTATTGAATTCATTCACCCACTGAAACAAGAAGTTTTCTCTAGCGAGACATTTTTTGGGAAGCTCTGAGGAAAACAGTGGGTTTAGACAAGCTGCACACTTTGTAAATACATCATCTAAGTAATAAAACTATTAAAGCCGTTATTAAGAACAAAACATGTTCTATGTCGTATAGGCTTTGCCCTTTAAGGCTGTCGCTGATGGGTTTATCCCGTTATGCGCAAGCATCATACTGAAAAAATTAGTCCACGCCCACCTGCTGTGTGGGCCCCACCCGATCCGTATAAGTTACATTAAGAGCGGGTAATCGGCTCCCATTTTTCTTCAGCAAGCTAATAAAAAACAACTGACCTTCAACAAGATGTCCAGCTCCAACACCATCCGCTTGTGTCCTTCCTGCAAGACCGGTTACTTGCTCAGCTTCGACCGGCAGGCACGACACCTGCGAGGGATGCCTGGGTCCCCGCCACGTCGCCCGCGCTTCCTCCTGCCTTCTCTGTGACGAGCTTCCACCGGAGGAAAGGCAGAGGGGAAAAAAAAAAAAAAGGAAAGGCAGAGGAGAGCAGCCTTGTTTAAGGCTACCCTCGAGGACTGCCTGTCCGTGGCGGGAGACTGTTCGCTGGACGACGCCATGGATTTCTTCGACGCCGGCTCTCGGAGTGAATCGGATGATTCCTCTGGGACTGGTGACGTTAGCAGCAGCCCCGACGCTCGTTCCCTCCCGGGGAGCGCAGTGTTGGAAAGAGGGAGGCCGAGCGGATGCTCGACTCCTCCGGGGTTTCCCGCCTCAACGGCCACACCGCTCCCTGCCGTCGGCGCACTCCTCTCGAAGCTGCCCACCATTATCTGGGAAGCTGCTAACGTAAAGGGGCTCTCCGTCCCCCCCCCCCCCCCCCGCTCAGATCGGATGATCTTGCGGGAAGGTTTGGCTCCACGCCGGCTCGCCGTCTTGATCCCATCTGGCCTCGTTTTCCAGCGGTGACATCGTACTGGAACGAGGCCGCAGCCGGTCCTGGTAGGTTGAGGGCGCCCGTCTCCACTTACGCTCCCATCACCAGAGTGGAGGGGTTCACCAAGCGGGGCTATCCCTCGGTACCCCCCCTTGAGCCAAGCCTCGCGGAAGCCTTCGGAGCGAAGCTGTCCAGGTTGGAGCAGCGTCCCGTCCCTCCGGGGAAACACGACCAGGCGGTGACCGCGCTCTCCAATCGAGCCCACCAGTGTGCTTTTCAGGCGGCCGCAGCTAGCAACAACGTGGCGCTGCTAGCATTTCGCATGTCCAAGAGACTGGAGGCCGTGAACCTGCCCGAGGAGACAAAGAGCTCCCTCTGTAAGACGGCAGACGCCATCCTCAACACGTGCGCTGCTTCCACGGTTTGCCTGTCGAGGATTGCAGCGTGGATGACGTTGATCCAACGATCCACCTGGCTTCTTCACTCTCCCTCGCTGCCGGAAAAGCTGCACAAGGACCTGATGGAGGGCCCCATCACGTCGGACGCGCTGTTCGGAAGCAGCTTAAAAACCATGCTGGCGAATTCGAAGCAGTCGGAGGAGATGTCGGAAGCTGTGCGCCATCTCATCAAGCCGCGCGGCTCATCCCGTCCCCCCACCCGCTGGAGAGATCGTCGTGAGCAGAGGCAGAAACATCGGCGCTCCACGGCCGCAGCAGCTTCGTCTCGCTCAGCTCCACCACCAGCCCCGCCCGTCAGAGACCACCCCTCCTCATTCCGGCAACCTGCACTTCAGCGTTCCCCCAGAGATCGCCTGCAGACGGCGCTCGGGGCAAACAAATCGCAGAGCTCACGGGGGAGAAGATTTAAAAAATGACGGTCTATGGGAAACGCCACCAAGACTGCCAGGGTTATGGCGCATTTGCAGCAACTTAAAGGGGACATATTCTTTTTACAAGAGACACACCTCCGGAACAAGGAGATAAGGCGGCTTAAAAGAAGTTGGATCAGCCATGTATTTCATTCTAGATTCAATGCCAGAGCCCGGGGAACAGCCATACTGATTCGTAACAATATCATGTTTGAACAACACAAAATAATAGCAGACACGGATGGCCGGTTTATAATTGTGGTTGGCAAATTGCAGAACTCTCTGGTGATACTAGCTTGCGTCTACGGGCCAAATTGGGATGACAGTACCTTTGTGCCCAAACTATTTTCTTCCATTCCTGATATCGAAAAACATTATTTAATATTAGGGGGAGACTTTAATATGGTCCAGGATACCTGTTTAGATAGATCCTCAAAAAAACCAGTTCCATTATCGAATGCTGCTAAAAGTCTCAATGTGTTTAAAACCCAATTGGGACTAGTGGATCCGTGGCGACATAAAAACCCAGCACTCAAGCAGTTCTCCTTCTTTTCCCATCCCCATCGTACATATACACGCATAGATTTTTTCCTTATTGATATCACTCTTTTCTAAAATGAGGGATAGTAACTATCACACCATAGTCATATCTGACCATGCTCCAGCCTCCTTAGATTTAGAATTGGTTGGTCAAACCCGTAGTTTTAAACCTTGGAAATTCAATTCTACTTTACTTACCGAGGAAGACTATAAACAATTTTTAAAAAACCAGCTTTCACTCTTCTTTGATCTTAATGATTCACCTAACATTTCAAGAAGCACCCTATGGGAAGCCTCAAAAGCATATATGAGAGGTCAGCTCATTAGCTTTACTTCTAATTTGACAAGAAAAAAGTTAAGTTACACCAATGACCTGCTGATTCAGATTAAAGAAGTGGATTTTAGATATGCAGCCAATCCGGACCCTGACCTCTATAATGAACGCGTTAGACTCCAAACCGATCTCAATTTGACTACATCTAATACAGCTCTACTTCAACTAACTAAGACAAGGCAGCGTTTTTTCGAATCTGGCGACAAAGCGGGGAAGCTTCTAGCTTTCCAAGCCCGAGCTCAGGCAACCTCTAAACTAATCCCATTCATCAGATCGGATACAGGGGAGATTCTCTCTGATCCCAGCAAAATAAATAATAGGTTTGCGTCATTTTACTCAGAACTTTATACCTCTACCAATCCACCCTCGTCACACAATATACTTAATGATATCAGTTTTCCACGGATAGACAATGAGCTGAGAGGTCTGGGTGGGCCCATCACTATAATAGAGGTGCAAGAATCTATCAAATCCTTAAAGTCAGGGAAGTCCCCTGGACCTGATGGTTTCTCTTCAGAATACTA